ATAAAAATTTGCTCTTAAGATTTGTCCTCAACAGGAGATTATCTTCACTGATATCCCCATGTGGAGTTTGTTCTTCTTGGGGCTGACAGCCCCACACAAAAAGCTGCATGGAGATGGTGCATGCCAGCAGGGCTTGCTGAAAAGTAGGGTCACTGCTCACTCTTGGGGGCACATGTGCCAGAGGACATGAAACTGCAGTCTCTCATATGGGAGGAATTTTAACAGTGTAGAACCAGAAACTCAAGGGCATCTTGGTAGCCTGCCATCTTTCCCTGCTCCAGGATCAGATGGGTGCTCAAATCTGGGTCTCACACACCTCATATTTAACTTATTCCACTGGAAAAACAAGGTTTGCTGTAAGTTCTAAATCTTCCCTTTGGCCTCATTATGCATGTATTTGTCCACTACAAAACAAACAAACAAATAAACAAAGAAAAACACTTATTTTATATTTTCCTTTGGAGTTTTCCTTTGTGCCAGGCCCTGAGACCCAGAAGACATTCCTTCAGATGCAGGTACTGGTCTGCTCTGGGAGCATTACGTGTGTGCTATTTGGGCTTCGAGTGCCAGGGTCAGGGCATTCCAGTAGATCTGAGAAGTCCTCTAGAAGAGGATCCTGTGATGCCCTTCAAGATCAGAGCTCTGAGAGTCCAGCCCTGGGCTCTGAAGAGCTGCACAAAACTCACAGATATGCAGTAATAGCACATTTTATGTCCCAGTTCCACAAAGAGATAAATACCTATGGACTTTATGCATCTACACAGTTTTGAGGATGGATCTTCTCAAGATAATTCCTCTCAGTCCCACTTGTAGGTACTTCCACTGATTTGCATTCACATCCTCCACAGAGCTGATGAAGTTTGCACCAGCTAATCGTTCTGAAGTTCATTGGCTAACTGCATAAATAACTTTGTAGTTATATAGGGACCTATTCCAAGTACTAGCAGAGGAGGAGGAAAGAGATCTTCTGAGCAAGACACCGGTGCTGTACATCCAATCCAAATATGTGCATTCAACATCTGTCTCTCAATTAAAGCATTCCCCACTCCACAGCAAAAAAAAAAAAAAATCAACCACCTGTGAGCAGCACTGGGCTTCCTTTCTTGAACTGCATGCAGGACTCCTACGTTACATGTAAGACATACTGCCCAAGTCCTCTTTCTTTTACACTTAATTTTAATGTACTAGAACAAATTTAGGCCTAGGAAACAGATGCCATTTGGCAACAGACTCAGTTTACTTGCTTCTCACTGCAGGACTTGCTGGAACCCTTCTGGTTTTTGCAGGATGAAGAGGATTAGCTCCAGGGCACACTGCATTTCTGTATTAACGTGCATGGTGCTACAATCTTTCTTCTACCTACTTGCTGGTGAGATCACCCAGAGCAAAGACATGGGCTTATGCTTTCAAAGATATCTGTGGATGTATGAGAAAACGTGGAGGCAAGCTGCCCACACGTGCGTGATATTTAGTTTTTGACCCTAAATGGTGCAAAAGCAGCGGATGAGGACAGAGGATCAGATCTTTGGTAAACAAGTGCCATCCAACACCCAAACCTGGATGTTGTTTTTTGGGTCAGTGAGAGAAGCACTTGAAGTTCTTGTGAAGTTCTTGATACTCATTCTATTTCAGAAAGGCTAAAGGTGCTCTACAGTTGTTAAGAATGAAAACTCTCTTGTGTACGCTTCATCCAACTCCAGGAGTCCCACATTTACAGGTTTTTTTTGTTTGTTTAGTTTAGTTTTTTTTGGTTTTTTTTTTAAAGTAAATGTGCTATTCCAGTAGTTTGGATTTCCTCATTCCTACAGCAGTTCCAGTTTGATCTGTGCCATATGTGGGCCTGGCCCTGAATAGAAGTTTTCTGTGTTTCCTCCATGTTAAAATCATTTCCAGGGTCACACCTAGCTTTTAGGTTCAGTGACAAATTGGTGATCTACCTCTACACTGCATTCATCTCGCTTGCCTGCACGCACAGCTCCCTGTGCAAGGCCCGGCAAGTCTACTTCTTTGAGGCTCAGATTTCCAGTGGTGCCAGCAGCCTGCCTCTCTGCAAACAGCCATGGAATGCAATGCAGGGACAGACCTTCATGTTCTTCACTCTTCATGTAGACTGAGATTTCCCATAGTCTCTGTAAGTATCTTCCATCTTCATATGACCTTCCTGATGTACAGAAAAAGGCAACTCAGACAAGGCTATCTGGCAGATAAGATCCCTTTGCTAGTAACTGCTTGGAAATGCCTCTGCAAACACCCCTGAAGATGCAACACTGATTTGCTGTACCTACAAAACATCCTTAAGATTGTGTGAAATTGAGTGTGAACAAGCAGTAGATTCCATTTCATCAAGCGTAATAAATCCAAAACAAGCAGCAGAAATTCTCCTTTCTTCTTGCCTAAGGGTTAGTGATATAACACAGAACACCCTGTAAACAAAAAAGTGACTATGCAGATGCTCAATGATCTGTGAATTCTTTTGTAATGCAAAAATGGCTTTTATCTCTCACTGTTTATTTATGAACACTCATCAGTGTGTTTCCTGAGTGCTCTGGTAAATGGCAGTGAATACATTTAGTGTATGTTTCATTTATTAATAATCCATCTACTTCATCTAATTTGGAGATAAATGATAAATAATGGAAAAATACAGCATTTACAAATGTTTGCTGCACACATTTGGACAGTAACTAGCTCTTTGACTTGAATCCCAGAAAAATAAGGAAAAAAAATTACAACAAGTTGGTAGAGCTCGGGTTGTATGATCTGCCCTAAGAAGGATGCATCATTTTCTTAATGGCACTACACAGATTCTCTTTTATCCCTGAAGAATGTAGCAAGGACACAAAGTGGCTGAATTTGTTCCAGAAATGGTCCAGTAGGGTGGAGAGAAAGCACAAGAACCTCTCTGTGATTTGTCCAAAAAAGCCTGATAAGATCTGTAGATCACACATTCCCAATATTGCCACCACCCTAGCCAGCATGTATAGGAGACATTAATTCAGAAAATCCAGAGGTGTGGGTTGGCAGTACTTCTGCCTACAAAGCATCAGCCAGCTGTGGCTCAGTGAGTGCTGAAAGAAGTGCTACAGCCTTGATGCCTTCTCGGCAAGAACAGCCCCTCGGCAGAACAGGTGATGGCAAACAGTCTGGTCTAGGCCATAAATTGGACTGAGATGAATAACATGAACATGTTAAAACTGTTTATTTTATAGAGGCTAGGGGGCCCAGTTATTCTTTACACTAAGAAAGACACACTAAGAATAAGAAATCTAGGCTTTCAAAATACAGGTGTTTGGACTCTAAGTAGCAGATGTTGAAGGCTGCATATGAGACAGGAACCATGGCCTCCTCCCCAACTTAGCCTATGCAACCACAAGAGAACCAAGAGAACATTTGTAGACTTCAACAACTTCTTGATTGTCTTACTGTAGCATTTTCTATACATTGTTAGTTTAGAATGAGCACTGTGTGTACTTGCATTTGGAAATGTCCGTACCCCTCCTGTATCTTACATTCACTTCATTTCACTTCACTTTGCTTTGCTTCACTTCATACAAACACACCATGGTTTTATCATACATGATTTTTTTCAAGCTGGAGCTGAGACGGTGCCCGTTCTTACCCATTTGCTGTTTGAGGGCACTTTCTCAAGAAAGAGGTCAGGAAGCAAACAATGGCCTGAAAGGTTTCTCAGATTAGCCTGGCAACACACCTCGGTTTCCATAGCCATCAGGGAAACAGGCATTGTTATCAATAGCGTCACACCAGACCAGCCCAAATGACCAGGAACCCAGTTACAGCCAGGTCAACAGGAAAGTAGACTACAGCAACAGTCCAAGCATTAATCCCTGCCCTGAGGGTCGTTAACTCTGTGTTTGAAACACCCAAGAAAAACCCAAGAGCAACATTTCTTTTCAGGGCTGCAGCCCTGGTTTTGAGCTTGTGTCACTGAAAACAGAATCTAGTCTCCACAGGGTCTGCAAGAGAGGGAACAACACCACAAGAACAAGGCAAAGCTTGCTGCCCTGGCAATAAATGTTTATCTCACATGGCTCTCCCAGTGAGCAATGTTTAAGATAAATAAATACTGCAGGGGAGTTGCTGTTACTGTAATTGTTGGGCTTTATTCTTGTGAAAGTTTTTTATCATAATAGTGCAGCAGAAGTACAGTGTGTTTGCAAGTCAGGTTTGAGCCAGAGCACAGGAGCACATGAAGTCAGTTAATAGATAATTAACTCTGTGCATGTGGGGTTTTTTTGCAGCATGGCTTAAAAAAATCAACACCTTCAAATACAGTAATACGCATCTGCTATTGAAACAAACTGAAAGAAAAAAAAAATGAAGAGATTTAGCTCCTGGTACCTGGAAATGGCACAAATGTTCTCCTCAGGAGAAGGTTGCACAGCAACCCTCCTTCATGTTCTTCCACCTGTGCTGCTTCAACATGGGTGGCAATGATGATGCTGCTGAAGTTTGCTCACTAACTATGATGCTTTAAATTTCTCCACTATATCTGAAAGCTGTTATACAGTCAGGAGGTCAGAGCCTCAACTGGACTTAGGCACATCGCCTTTTCATGGATTTGATGGTGCCTTTACATGCAGAGGCCAAGAGCTCTTCATTGTCTCAGGTTTATGGGTTAGAAGCAGCAAATATCTACATCTCAATCTTCCCAGTGTAAAGAAACATCAGAGCATGAGGAGGAAAGACAGACAGGAGCCCTGAAACTATTCTGTAGAAGTCTTACACCAGTTCCTAGCTTCGCTGAAGGTGAAAAATTAGTTCACCTTCAAGGGAGATAAATGCAGTAATTTCAATGTGTGGGACCTCTTTGTAAAAGGCACGCTCTAGGCCCATCAGGACAGTCTGTAATAGTACCAGTGCACATTAGCAGAAAACACTACTTGGCCCATGTGGGAAACTGCCTGATGGGCATGTCATCCAAGCACTTAACTTACTTGTAAATAAATAAATACAAGGAATCATAGAAAAGAAACACTTACTTGGTCCAAGACCTATGGAAAATGCAGCAACGTAAACAAGCAGGCTGGCCAGCGAGACCCATTTCAGGACAACAGAAACCTCCCCACTCTCTGTGTGAGACCCCATCATGCTTTTGCCTCCTGCTGGGGTAGTCCTGTTCAGTTCTCCTGTCCTGGTGACATCAAGATTTCTCTGTATGTCGAATAAGAGTCTTTCTGGTAAAGCCATACTAGAAAAGAGGTCCCTGAGGCTCCCATTGGTGACACCAGTGAGGTTTCCTGTACTCTGATAGGTATCCTCTGGAGACTGGCTTCTACAGATACTGGTGAAATTCATGTGTATGTTACGGTTCACTAAGCCCATAGTGACCAATGATATTGCCATAACAGAAGAGCCAATACACAGAAAAGTTTTACTTCCAACTTTATCCACAAAAACTGTGGCTGGAACTGTGCTGACCACTTTAACCACTCCAACTCCAGTAGAAGCCAAGCTGGCAGCTTCATTGCTCTGAAACCCAACTGACTTCAGAATAGTTGATGCATAAAATAAAATATTAGGTTGCCCAGTTGTTTGCACAAAAAAGACTAGCGTGAGCCCTACCAGCATTCGGGCCCTCATGTTGTTCTTTGAACGAAACAGATCCACGAAACTATACTGATGTTCATCTTTCAAGGAAGACTTGATCACAGTGAGTTCTTTAGTAGCATCTGAAGTTTCCCGTAGCCTCTCCAGTATTTTTCTTGCAGCTTCATCATTATTTTTCATGACAAGAAAACGTGGACTTGGTGGAAGGAAATACATGGCAATAGCCTGCAAGGCACCTAATGGAATTACAAGGCCAAACATATACTTCCAGCCATGAGATACGGTGGCAAATGCATAATTTGAAATATAGGCAAAGAGAATTCCTATCACAATCATGAGTTCATTTAACGAAACGAGAAGGCCTCTTCTGTGCTGCGGGGCAATCTCAGCAATATACACACATGTCGCAATTGATGATAATGATATGGAAATACCTATGGCAATTCGTCCCACAATAAGTATTCCATATGATTCATGGGGCAGTAAAATCAGACTTCCCATCACAAGTAGAGATGATGCAATAATGATAGCAAATCTCCTTCCAAAACGATCAATCAGGAATCCACCAGTAAGTGATGCAAATAAGGCCCCAAAAAGAAGGGAACTCACAACAATTTCCTGCTCTTTGCAAGAGAGTGCTAATATGCTACTCATCTGAAGAAGAGCTCCAGAGATAAGGCCCAACTCATAACCCATTAGAAGTCCACTTACAGCAGCAATGGCAGAAGATAGTAAAGTAAATGTTCCACAGCCTGAAATAAGACAGAAAAAGAAATTGAAAGTGTGACTTCTGCAGCATTCACAATCAGTACTAAACATATGATATAACCAGTACAAAACTTTTTTTGTAATTTTTAGGCAAAACAATTAGGTACAAACAAACCCAGAAGCAGTAGCTATATACAATGCTATATATGAGTGTGTGTGGAATTTCTAATTCATATAATATTCTTTAATTTTAACGCTTTTAGGTTTCTTATATCTCTAATTTGAAGTCAGTAAGGTTTTGGTTGAACCCTAAATAATTAAATCTTCTGCAGAATATCTTTGCAAAAGGCAACATTGACAATGCAACCTTTTGATAGGAAAACAATTTTTGCTTTGAGACATTCTCAAGGTGAGGAAAGCAATAATCTTCCAGCCAAACTGTTTCAACCTTGACTTGAATAACTAATAAAACAATCCCTCGCCACTTATTAATTCCTTTGTTTCACCTAAGGATGCCATGACAGCTGCTGATATCAGTGTTTTTTCTTTGCCATACGAAGGCTGATGCATACTGCCAGGATATTCAAGGGAAACCAATCCCCAAGGTACAAATTTCCAAACTTTATGGGTTTTGCTCATCATTTTTTTGGAATATCAGAAACAGATATTTCACATACTTAGGACAACCTCAATGTTAAGAATAAAAAACAGATGGCAAAAACATAAACCAAGTGGAGATTATATGCCTTTGAACCTCCACTTTAAAATAAACTCATTTTATACACTACAATCCATTGTTTATTGTTACAAGATAGATTTCACTGATCATATTCTACTAACTGTGAAGCCTTTTGCACTCTAGACTTTGAGGAATATTTCAGTTTGTTGTTGTTGGTCTTGTTCATTCTCCCAGCATGATTTTCCCCTCACCATGATGTTGGCTGCAACACAGCTAGGAAAAAAAGTAAACTGATTTCTGATTTCCTGCTTAGCTGGAGAAATCACATGTGCCTGAGGAGAGGTAGCTTTTGCAGCACAACAGAGTCCATATTTCAGTTAATTCTCCTGTTATATAGTATAACTGAAAATTATACACAGACTGTTTATTTTTAGCTTATTTTTCTAAGACATTAAGGTTCTCTGTTCATGCTGACTGCCTGAAGGTCCTTGCCAATAATTTTGAGCGCGTTGGCGAGAATCAGCCCCATTTGACAGAGGTTATTACATTTCTGAGGAAAATCAGGCAAGTGGAGGAGGAGAGCAGCCTCAGCAGGATGTTTGCACTACTAAAACAAATAATGCCAGAGCCCAGGCCCCAATACTGGAAGGGGGCCATGGATCCTATTAAATTGCTGGCACAATCTCTGGCATAGTATTGCCCATGCCACCTAGAACTCTGCTAACAATTCCTGGACGTGACTTGGTGGCACAAGGCCACCATCACACCCTGCAGCTAGCCCACAGGAGTTATTTCAGAGCACAGAAGAGTTTAAGTGTCTGAGTATAAGCCATGCCTCCAGGGGCAGGGGGTATGTGTAAGCCTGATAAATGTGTTAAAACAGGTACTGCCCATCAGTTCTCCTCCCTGGCCACTGGTTGCTTTCCTTGGGCCAGGCAGAAGCTCAGAGGCAGTAGCCCCATATCAATGAGCATATCCAATGCACCTTAGCCTGCTTTGCCTTGTGCTGAGCAGGTTGGCAGGTCTAGATAGAATCATAGAATCATAGTATCATCTAGGTTGGAAAAAATCTCCAAGATCATATCATCCAGTTCCAACCATCCACCTATCACCAATATTTCCCACTAAACCATGCCCCCCAGTACAACATTTAAATGTTTCTTGAACACCTCCAGGGTGAGGTGTGACTCCATCACATCCCTGGGCAACCTGTTTCAGCACCTGACCACTCTTTCAGAGAAGAAGTATTTCCTAACATCCAATCTGAATCTCCCCTGGCACAACTTGAAGCCATTCTCCCTAGTCCTATCACTAATTACATGGGAGAAGAGGCTGACTCCCACATCACCACAACCTCCCTTCATGTAGCTGTAGAGAGCAAAAAGGTCACCCCTGAGGCTACTCTTCTCTAGACTAAACAGTCACAGTTTCCTCAGCCTCTTCCTTCACTCTTCATAAGGCCTGTGTTCCAGACCACTCAGCAGCTTCATTGCCCTTCTCTTAACACACTCTGGGGCCTCAATGTCTTTCTTGTAGTGAAGAGCACAAAACTGAACACAGTACTCAAGATGAGGCCTCACCAGAGCTGAGTACAGAGGGATGATCACTTCCATGCCCCTGCTGGCAACACAATTTCTGACACAAGCCAGCTAGGCGAAATACAGGCGAAAAATGCATGGTTGTGCATGCACATAAGCATGGCACTGATTGTGAACAGAGAATCATAGAATGGCATAGAATTGAGTTGGAAAGGACCTCAAAGATTATCCAGATCATTAAATCAGGCACTAGACCAGGCTGCCCAGGGCCCCATCTCAGCCTGGTCTTGGACACCTTCATTGATGGGGTATCCACAGCCTATCCAGGCAGTGGGTTATGTACATGACTTACGTCAAGTTATGAGTGCAGTACTCATTTTATTTTGCAAAATCTAATCTCTCCATTCCTCCCACCCCCCTCCTTTCCATTTTTTGACTTGTTTGCTGACTATATATTACCAGCTCTGGAAAACGTGCCCGTCCAGTATATCCTGACTGAAAATCAGGGCTGAGGACACAATAGTGTTGTGCTGAATGAATGAGCTTGGGTATCAGAAGTGAGATTGTTAATTTTTTTCACAGTGCTCTGCCCAGGCTAATTTCCAGTACTGACGTCTGTGCTTGCTTTGATATCCCTGCATTTTACAACATCAACCCATGAAGATTTAACCTAAGATTCTGGTTTATTTAAATATTATGAAGCCAAAAGAGATCATTGTGGTCATCTAGTCTAACAGGAACTTAACACTTTGGATACAATTAAATGTATTCTTATTTTAATTAGATCACTTGAGATATTAACCTTTGGTTTAAAAATTTCTGGTGTTTGAAAATCAATGTCTTTAAGTCATACATTGTTCCTGTGGTTAATTGCTTTAATTTTAAGTTATCTGTAATTTATTTCTAGCTCTAATTTCTGCATCTTCAGATTACAGCCATCAGATCTTATTCTCCATTTGCCTTCACTTACCCTTATTCAATATGTACAAAATTACAGCCTGTCATCAAGTCATCCCATAGATATCTCCTGGATAATCTTCTTAGCCTGTGAGTCTTCATAAGTTTCTCAGTCTCTTAAGCATTCAAAGCCTAGTTCACTGAACTCTCTCCATGTTGCCAACTTCTATAATAAACTGTTAATAGGACCCAGTGCTTCTGTAATAGTTGCACAGTGCCAAATGGGAGTCTTCTATAACTCTTCCACTCCTAATGCAGATTTCTCTCCATACCCATTAAATGATTGTCACAGCAATGCACAGGAACTCATCTTCAGCTGGTTACTCTCCAGCACCACCCATTTCTTTTTTGACTGAGTTCTTTCCAAGGCACTCAGTGCCTTTCCTTTTTATATGGCCTGACATCTTACATCTTAACTACAAATGAAAATTACATAGCATTTGGCTGTGTTAAAGGACATCGGATGGGTTCAGGTTCCCTGTGAGAAATAAACAGCATCTTTAGATTTCTTCTGTTACTACTTGTAAAAAATAGGCACTTCTAGATGTTTGAAATAGGTAAGATGCCTATTTCTCTCCAGTGACTATAAAAGGAATCTGTTGCTTGCTCAGATGCAGATGCCTAAAGTTAGCTGTGAGGAGCCTCAGACATGATATTCACTTGCAGTCAATAGGTCAGGCCATCCAAATTTCCTTAAATCAGTGATGAATTCCATTTATTAATCACCTTTATCACCCACAAATGTTATTATCTTTTTCCAGGCAACAGAAAACTGTTAAATAACGGGAACAGAAATTGATTTTAAGGATCTCCGCAGAAACAAAGCAGCCTGGGCAGTGTCACCTACTTATGCTTTGAACTCTGTGTTCTGCGCAGCTTTTAATTCTTTAAATGTGCAACCGTCTGTTTGGTATGGTTCCAGTTCCTTATTCAAAATGGCAGTGCCAAGACAAATATTTTAAAGGAGTCTGCCACCAGCGCTATTCCTTACATCTCACAGTATCCTCTCCTCAACCCCTGGTCCCCCAGAGCAGTGCAGTGGAGGTGTTTTTGGTTTTTTTTAATCTGAGAAAGATTGCACAAGCTGGAGATGGAGCTTGGACACTTGAAAGTTGCTAGAGAAGCAATGTATGTGTGACTTAAGGTTATACATAAGTTTTGCATCCTCAGGTAAAGCAGCTTCACGTTTGTTTTTTGCTGTGTCAGCTGGTATCCTTGCTGGTGACACATGTTCACAGTGGTATAGAAGTAGCCATGGACTGTAGCTAAAGCAGACCTCTGAGTGGAAAGAAGGTTCTAATGTATAGATATCCAACCTTTTGACTTGTTTGGGCTGCACTGAGTAATGAGGAATTGTTTTGGGCCGCATATACATAATCTCCTCTGAAAGTAATTCTTCCTATTTATTTCCAAGGAAACTATAACAAAAACAAAGTGCACAGTAACATTATTTGATAGAACAAGTTCTCAGCTACAAAACACTATTTTTCCATATAGTCAGCGCCACTGATATTTTACGAACGCTTTCTTTCTTTCCTTCTCTCTCTCTTTTTTTTCTCTCTTTCTTTCCTTCTCTCTTTGTCTTTTTCTTTAGCTTTATCCCTTATTCCTTTTATCCTAAAATGCTTGTTCCTCTCATTTTTAGGAGAAGCCTGCAAAGTATACGGTGATGTGCAGCCCAAGGGAAAATCTGTTTTAGTGATGGCTTACACCAAAGAGAGAAGTTTCTTCTCCTGCCTGCAACAAGCTCTATGGCTAACCAGTGTGTGACTGGTATGTGACAAGTGATTAGAAAGTCTCTTGTTTAGTTTTCCCATGTAAACAAAATGCTTTTTCATAACTGTTACTCAGGTCAAAAGCAGCACTACTTGGCAAACAAACTTATCTTCAAGAACATTTTCTGGAACTGTTTATACTTTGTTCCTGAAAAAGAGATCAAGAACAGTTGCAGTATAGCTGAGTGTGCTGCTGATGGGATGGGATGGGGCTGAGTTAAAAAGAGTGTGCCCCTTTCTACTTCTGTTCAAGTACAAACTTGGGAAAATAGACTCCTTCCAAAGGCAAAATACTTGGTTTTTCACCAATACAAGTATTGGTGTACATTGGTGCCCATGAAGTACAATACATGTACTTCATGGGCATTATGGATAAATGATCTGAGCCAAGGACATCTAATTTGCCCATGATAAATATTAAAACTACAGCATTTGTATCTGAAAATTTTAAGCTATTTTTAAGAACTTTTTTTTTTTCTGCATCTGAGTGCCAATTGACATACAAAAATTTTGCCTTCATGAGGAAATAGTGTTCAAAATTCCCCAAACTGTCATCAGGGTAGCATTTTGCTAGTAAGTAGCATGTGGATCATGTGATTCTGTAGCATAAATATTTAATAGCATATGTTGGGAATCACTGCATAATTAAATTGTGGATTTGTTTCTCATCAAAGGTGATTATCCCATTTTCATGCCATCGTGATCTTTGCTGCACTGTCACAGTTATTTTCTGTCTCTTGCAGGTGCACAGTGTAAAGAGATATATGTTACCCCACTGACCTGTTCTAATGTCTTTAGAACCAATACTTGTTCAATAGATACACTACTTATATAAGCTAGGATAACTTTGAACTAGCCATCTATCTAGAAGTTTTGTGTAAGATGTGAAATCATTACTCTACAAAACCCTATGGGAAGAAATAAAATGCTGCTTTGGGACGAAGTTATGTTACAATTAGAGACGGACATTCTCATAAAATATTAATTGTACTCCAAAATAGCATCAGGGCCAGGTAGTGTCATAACTGTTTGACAAACACAACTCTTGCTAGCATGAAAGACAAACCCAAAGCTTTTTTTTTTTTTTTTTTTTTTAATTGAAGTTAAAAAAAGAGGCAGAAGGAAGCTAATGTATTGCACATTTTCATGCATCTTCATTCCTACAATGGTGGGAAATAGTGTGTGCTTTATACATTGTAAGCTTGGTAAATGTATTGTGTGAGTAAAATTCATATTTTATGAACAAATTATCCTGGAATCAATGGAAAGAGTGCAATGCAGAGCCTGGGCACCTTTCTTAGTGCTCTGACATGCTTTTTCATTATGTCAACAGGCAGCCTGGCTCTTCATTATATTAAATGGGATCTGGTGTTTCCTTATTTTCCAGTAAGAATCACCAATTTCCTTTAATTCCTAGTGAATTTCTCAGGTTACTGCTTTAATTCCTGAGGGTAAGCCCAAGCGTGTAATTTGCTCGTCCACTTTTAACCATAGCTCTCATGCTGCAGTAACTTCGGTCTCAGCTTATTGTAACTGCTGTGCTTCCCTTTGATAACGCCATCCTGTAACAATGTGCATTGCTCCCCCATACCCTAGGGTAATGTTAAGTACATCTGCCTGCCGACTGGCTTTCTGTTCTTCATTAACCTCTGTTTCCTCTGCTCCCAGTTGTCAGTAGAAGCTGCTCGACTGACTGTTACTGCACTCCAACAAAGCATCTGTGCCTGTAGTATCTGAGTATCCATGGCTCAGTCAGCTCATTCATTTTTAAGTGAACAAAACTTGCTTGTGACATCACAGTCATTTCTGGCTTGCAGTGGCACTTTCCCATTTGGGCACAGCTGTCTTCTGTGTGAGAAAAATCACATTTGTGGGCCATTTCACTAGATCTTATTGGCAGTAGAAGAGCTGTGGTTAGATGCGAAACTATGTGTGACTTACTGCTGGGTGGGACAGCAAAGGTGAAGAGCTATGAAGTTCAGCTTCAGCACTTGAAAATCTTTTTCAGAAGAAATTCTGCAGTTAATTTCTGAATGTCAGCATGGAAACCCTGCTTCTTCATGAAATACTTGGGTAGAAGAAATAGGAGGGAGCACCTGGCACCCTATCCCAAAAACTCCCTCTGCATGAGCAGGTGATTCTCACATGGCCTTCCTGGACTTCTCCTCCTAGGAATGAATCGAGCTTGCATGGGTTGAAGCAACACTCTTATCTTATCTTGGATGCAGTGGGTCCCCTGATTACTCAGATAACTGATTCCCATAAAAGAAAGAGAATTACACAGCAGAGAACTCATACACGAACAATGGGCTTGAGGGAAAAGTACCGCATATGCCACCACCCAAAACTGCAGACGGTGTTTCCCTCCTTACTTGCTATTTCCCCACTCACACTGCTAGGAACTGGGACAGTGTGTGCCCAAGTCCACAGGCTTTGCTGCTGTCTTCCCGCAATCCTGCAAGCTACACACGTGCTGCTGATCAGCAACAGCTGGTGCCCGGTCCCGCCACCTTACCTGCTGCAGCTGGCAACTGGCGGAGGTGCCCGCTGCCTCTGCCACCTTCCTCATCCTCCCCTGCTTTCATCGCCTGGCACTGCTGGCCCAGCTCCTCTGCACTCTGCACGGGTGCCATCGTCGCCTCAGCTGGAAGCCTCTCAGAAGGTGGCTGTCTTTCCCAGACCGGACAGGAAAGCCCAGATGATTTTCGTCATTGCAACAAGTTGCTGGAGCTGGCTGAAACCAAATGCGGACCGCAAAGTGGTTTGTGCACAACTTTGTTGCTATTTCAGAAGGCTTTGCCCTTTGCAGTGACACAGGCTGTTGCTATTCTTGGGAGCCTATTGCAGGCGAGGGGAGGGACATCTGTCGGAAGCATTGCTGTTGCCTTTTAACAAATAGTTGGAAACATCAGACATTCATGCACAGCACGGCGCACATTCCTTACCCACTAGCTTAAGGGATCTCTTTTTTTCTCTTCTCCCTCATGATCATACACGTGTTTTTTTTAGCAGAGAAGGCACATGGAGGGGAGGATATGGAGTGTGTGCTGTGTCAGCTGAATTTCAGGCGCTGAGCACACATGCATGCAGTGTCACTTCATTCTTTTGAGGCATGAGCAAGTTGTGCTGAGAAACAGCAGCAAGGAAAGAAAACTATGACATTCCTCTGCACTCCAGGAAGGTAAAAGGCAGGACTTTTTCATAGCATAGATGCACATGCTATTTAACAACCAAATATAATGGCAAGCCAATCTCTCTCCTATAACATTTAGGGAAAAGCTGAGATTGTCTCATTTTTATGGAGGCAAAGGCTTGATTTTGAGAGCTGCTGGAGTTGCTCCGTGCCTACTATCTTCAGCAGAGGCAGTGACCAGAGGTGGACTACATGAGCAAAGGAAGGCTACAGCAGAGGAAGTAAGCTGTCTTTGTGGTCTGCCTACCTCATCCTGGTCCTGGCCCTGCTCCTCATGCAGGAGCCTCTGCATGCTCTCAGCAAACCCACTGGCCTTAGTGTGGCAAGTCATCCAAGTTAACCCCAGTGGGAACTGCTGTTGTATAATCTGGCAGCGCTGCAGGCTCTTTGTTTGTTCTCTTTCTTTCTTTCATGACTTGTTGTTTTGTCTTGGTTGGTTTTGTTTTAACACAGTGATGTCTGCATACAGTGTGGGAGGGAAGGAAGATGTGGAAAGTTGGTGGCTTTGACAGTATTTCTAAGAAGGAGGAGTGCTAAACATTTTTTTTTTTTCCTGGAGTAGGCATGACACACCTTTTATCAGTGCTTGCCTAACAAGAAAATGTGACAAAAGACTGTGATACTTCCCCTTCTGACAGATATACCGCTGTCAGCTTCAGACACTGAAGAAGCAGTGATGCTGCAGGAGTATGGATTCCAGGGGGTTTGGTTTCGGCAGCACTTTTGGTACAGAGATGATAAATGAGTATGGCGACCTCTGCTCTAATGTGCAATGTATTTTCCATGTAAAATGCTCACCTGCCAAATAGGACAGGATGCTGCCAGGACTGGTAACAGCTTCTTGCCTTTTCCAGAGAGATGTTACTTCATCATGTGTTACACGTGAAATAAACAATGTCATATTCTAAAGAATATATTGTAAATGAGAGGCTGTTCAGACTGGGGAAGGAGAAGAACTCTTTCCTAAATTCAGCTATGACAAGATTCCTCCGTTACAATCTAATGTATGATCAACCTCCTTACATGGCCATACCTCATATAACCCATAGTTCGGCTTAAGTGATGCTCTCTGGAAACTCATTTAACACTGTATCTACAGTTGTTCCCACCTCCCAGAGATCTTCCTGTGTAGTGGTCCTGGAGAAGTCAGAGAACTGCCATGACCTCTCAGGTATTTGCTCTAGGAGCATGCTTTCCAAGGAGAATGCTCACTCCCCAGCCCAGAGCCACTTCCCAGGCAGGGATCTCCCTGGGCAGAGATTCCCACTGCCTACCGAGGAGCCAGCAGAAGAGAGGTTCAGGTTCACAGAGAAGTGATGAGAGGCTCACTGGCTCTTAAGAGAGCTCTGGAAAAATGAATGGAGAAACACCCAGTGGAATGTTAGGCATCCTGGACAGCCTGAAATGATATATTTCCAAGTAGAAAATATTCACCATCCTTAGGTTATCAGATATGCAAGAACTGACTACTTATTTTTACTATTAGTTTTTGGCATCCAAATGATAGGAGGCTGCTTTGCTGGAAATTGGAACTGTTGAGTGTAATTATCTAGACAAGTTTGCAGCATAGCATCTGTAGGACTGGAAATATGTAACAGTCCTCACATTTGTGAAGATCTACAGTCTCCCTTTGTCCTTTCACTCCTCTGTTCCACCCATAAATGGTCCTGAAAAAGTCTAGGACTGCCTGTGCAGGTATCTTCACTTCCATCACATTTGTAGAGTGTGCTTCACCTGTGAGCTGAATCAGATTCATCAGCTAGAGGCTATTACTAATTTTGACAGAAGTGAGAGGTCTAATGTGACTGCAGCTCCCTAAATATTCAAAGCCTCTCCTCTACATGTAGTCCTCCAACTAAATATACTAGTTATGTACAGTTGTCAACACCTGTGTACTTGGGAAGAATTTATCATCAAAGGCATACTACCCGTGGGAGCGAATAATACAAAGAAAAGGTTGCTCTTCATCAAGTTTCCAAATCTTGTGATGAGCAAACTTTAAGTGATGAATGTTAAGTAAATACACAGTGCATTCCATTCATTTTTGAATGACACGGGGGAAAAAAAAGAAAAAAAAAAAAAGATATTTTAGGCAAACAGTGGGATTTGTTTCAACTGCATTTCAACCTGGAGTTCAGTGCTATCTACATTCCCCTCAGAAACCAGAGGCTGGGCTGATTTTGAAATGTTCACTTCTGTGTTTACTCAATAGCTGGGAGACCGATCTCCTCCAAATTAACACCTCATACTCTATTTTTCCTTCCTAACTGCCTTTACTTCATGGTACTTTTAACAGCAGCCACAAAGCAAGTGGTGAACTTTTCCTCCTGTGGTAAACTCAGGAGGTGGCAAGATCTGATTTATGGTCAAGAAGCCACTTTAGAACAGAGATCACAATGTCCAGCCAGAAATAAAGGAAGGTACTGACAGGTAGGCAGTGTTGAAAGGGTGAAGGACTCTACAGGCATTTTGAGCCTGGTCACCCAGAGCAGTGCACACTTACCATACTGAGCCTCTTCTGCTAGTGGTGGGTCACTAGAGGGGTTGTGCAGGGCTGCTTCTCTTCAATGCTTTAATCAATGACTTGGATACAGGACTTGAAGGTATAGTAAGAAAGTTTGCAGATGACACTAAATTGGGTGGAGCTGTTGACTCCCTCAAGGATAGAGGCCTTGCAGAGAGATCTTGACAAATTGAAGGTCTGGGCAATCACAAGTTGCATAAAATTTGACGAGGGCAAGTGCTAGATTCTGCACCTGCAATTGGGCAGCTCTGGATATATGTACAGATGGAGGGATGAGAGGTTGGAGAGCAGCCTTGTGGAAAAGGATCTGTGTGTTCTGGTTGGCAGCAAGTTGAACATGAATGAGCATGGAGCCCAAAGGGCCAACTGTATGCTGGGATGCATCAGGCTCAGCATTGCCACCATGCGAGGGGAGGAATTGTCCTGTTCTGCTCTATGCTGTGCAGCCTCAGCTCGAGGATCAAGTGTGGTGTGGGTGCCACAGTATAAGAAGGACATAAAGCTATTACAGAGCATGCAAAGGAAGGCTATGAAGATGGTGAAGAGCCTAGAGAGCAAGTATGAGGAGTGGCTAAGGTCTCCAGGTTTGTGCAGCTCAGAGACAAGGAGGCTAAAGGGAGGCCTCATGGCAGCCTGCAGCTCCTCACGAGAGGAGCACAAGGACAGGTGCTGATCTCTGCTCTCTGTTGACAGCAACAGGACATGAGGGAATGGCATGGAACTGGGTCAGGGGAGGGTCAGATTGAAGGCTGGGAAGAGGTTCTTCACCAGAAGGTGGTCGGGCCTGGAACAAGCTCCTCTGAGCAGTGGGCACAACCCCAAATGCTGGAGTTCAAGCAGTTTTGGACATCACTCTCAGACACAGGGTTTGAATTTTGGGTAGTGCTGTTGCATCTTTGTGGATTCCTTCCAACATGGAATATTCTGTGATTCTATGATCTTGCAGAGGCACCAGGAAGTCTTCAAGGCTTTGACTTGCTCTCTCAGCAATACCCCATGCAAAACACATTACGTGAGGATGATAAACACTTCCCTATAAGAGGTCTTGGGGGAAAGTGTACCCAGCAAGTAGAAATGTGAAATACTTTATTTTGAGATCTGCTGTGTGGAATTGACAGGAGGGATTTTTTGAGACATCATTGGTAGCCCTCTGATAATGAAGAGCCACAGCTCAGCAGGTGCAGGAGTCTTGTTTCACAATTATGTCTGGAAAGCTGAGATATTAATATTTTTGGTATTAACTGGCATCCCATAAGAGGGACTGCAAATAGGTTTGTTGTAGCCAATGAAAGCAGGCAGTGGGAAGGAAAGTAAACAGCTTATGCTGGTCCTGTAGCCAAGACAATTGCACAGGGATCTTGAGACACAGCAATGGTGAAACACTTGCTGGTAGTCTCCACACTGTGGTCCCTGAGCCCTATCCCCACTCTGTTTTCTAGCAGGAACAAACAAGCAAACAGCCAAGCAAAAGTTCAGCGCAACAGCTACAAACAGAATAAGGTGGCAAGGGGCTGCCAGAGGATTTGCAAAGTGAGAACATCATGACACCATTCTGTCCCTGTCATAGCTGTATGGATAAGGAGTCCTGATGAAATAGGGACTGGGGAATACTCCAGAAAGATTCCAAACAACAGGAGAGACCAACAGTGACACTCCAAGCAGTATATAAGCAGCTGTTCCATAACTGTGCAGTTTGAAGCTGAGAAGAAGGTCACACCATTCAGGATAAAAAAAGAGAGGAAAAGATAAAACAGCCTAAAACAGGAGAGAGTCAGGAGACAGTCCAGTAATGTGAGTATAACACTGTCATGAGATTCCTCTGTTTGTTTTGTCCAAATGCATTTGGCAAGAAATCATCTTTCTGATATTCGTACAATTCCTTGTTTTCAAAACTGATTAAGCAGTTTATAATTAGAAACATGATGAGGCTGAAAAAAGAAGATAAGATATTCATATTAAATTGCTGAATAATGTGCCCAGAAAACCTATGAGGCTCAGGTCTGCATTTTTTCTAAAAGTTCTCTGGTCTGAATTTGTGTTTGTCTGCATTTCCAGTGAACAAATACTTCAAATTTGGGATGGTGGAGAGATGGAAAAGTCAGCGTTTAGCCAATGGGAATGTACCAAGAGCTGAACAGCTTTCTGAATCAATTTTCTCAGGCCATTTTTATAAGTGGTGGAATAAGGAAGATCATCTTAGTTCTCTGTAGATTTTATGACTCATGAAAAGAAGATAATGGAAGTCTCCCAATTCATTTCTTCTTAAATATGGAAATAGAGATTAGGACCAGAACTATGAGATTTAGTTGACATATCAGCTGAAGTTATGTTTCCTGAATCTGTGGTTTCTGGGCCTTCCTCTCAGGATAGATATTTCACTGTTTACAAATGAGTTTCCTAAGTTAGCCAGCAACTGACAGTGTGAGAGAGGCTGGGAAGAAGACAGGAGGAAAAAGACATACAGCAAAAAAAGAAGCAGAGCAACAAAGCCAAGAAAAGCATTCCATTTATTCTAGGGGAAAAAAAAGGGGCTAATCTAAAAGTGGTCTTCCCATTAGTTGCGTTGACACATGGACACTCCCACACAAGGGAGAAAAATTACCAACATTCCAGTCACAAAGAAATGGAAAACTGATTAAAAAGACAGTGAGAACTATCTTCAGAAAATGAAATGATCCGTCCTGAAGATGCTTTGAATATAGAAAAGATAAGTATTGTCACTATTATGCAGTAAATGAATTGCAATTCAGAGCTGGCAGTGCAAAGAGCCTTTTTTATAAATATAAGATAGATTTCATAAATATGATATTATGTTATTTAATTTGTCTCACTTTACAAAAGAATGAAATCAAAATATATCAGTAAATGGATAGTAACAAGAAAATGAATGAAATAGCCTGATGGCATACAGTGAGTTCAAGTCAGAGCTGAGAACACAAACTTCTTCATTCTCAGCCCCATGTTTTACTTACTATCACGGAACTACAAAATTGCAGGGGTTGGAAGGGACCTCAAGAGATCATTGAGTCCAACCCCCAAGGGTCTAGGTTATTCTCTTTATGTTTAGTCCTTACTTTTTGAGAGGCACTGATTTTTACCAACATGCTTTTATCTAACTAGAAAGTCTTCAAAAAAAGTTCTTGATTTCTTCCAATTGCACAAACAATGAATACAGTCCTGAGCTCACTGCACTTCACAAATTCCTCCAGTGCTTTAAGATCACCAACTGACTTGTTCCACGACTATTTATTCCTGCTTTTCTTCTGTTAACATC